TGAGTTTGGCATTTAGGTCAAGGAGATAGACATACATAGAGCCCAAGCTCCCTTGCAGTCACATGTGGTACCTAAATCTGGGGCTTATATATGCTGTCCTTGTAGTCCAAAGTCCCAGTATCCAAGGGGCATACAAGATTTTATTCATTGATTCAGTCTAATTGCTGAGATAGCAACCTCTAAGAATATACTCCCTTATTTAAGAGATTGGACCTATGTGATCAGTAAGGCATTGAGGAAACAACAGAGCATACTATCAAGGCAAAGAGACCAAGGTCCCATAAATCCTACACCCAATAACCTAATACCTCCCAGTAGGTTCTACTTCTTAAAAATTTTATCATTTCCCAATAACATCATAGACTAAGAATTAAACCTTAAACACACAGGCCTTTGGTATATATTTCAGATCAAACTATAGCAGCAGAGTAGAAAATGCAGTTATGAACTCAAATAACATTTCAAGAGAAGTGATGCCTGTCATGTCTAAAGGGAACCCCAAGATGAGTCTTGGCTCAGCTTAAGCTGCACTATAGAAGGACTGCTATTGCTCACTCTCATAGTTACTTAGGAACCTGTGAAAAGGATTGTGTCTATCAGGAAGGACCACTTCCTTATTGACACTTGCCTATGGTGCATGCCAAAGCCACTGGGCTTCCAGCCCCCTCCTCCATATCATAAACTTCCAGGCTATTCCAGTTCACAGGATTCACTACCCCCACCCTGCAGCTACCAGTTTTTCTTGGTAAAACAGGGAGGTTTTTCCTGCTCCTGCTCTTCTCTGCCCTCGCCAGTCTGCCCCCATCCTATCCTCTCTGCTCCATAAGAGGGAGCCGAGGCTACTTTGTACTTTCCCAAAAGGCCCTAGCTATTTTCTCATGTATCTACAATAAAAAAACCCTTCTTCCCACCCATGGATTGGTCAGTTCAGTGGATGGATTCTCTGCCCCCTTGCTGATACTGCCTAGATTTTACATTTTCTGGTTACTAAAAGATAGGTTTTATCTTAAACAAAAAGGAGAAAGGTGTCAGATATTCTAAAAAATACCAATGTCTGAAGACACCAAAGGATGCTAAAGTTAAGAAGGGCCATCTACACAAAAGCCAGACTGTTATCAAGCACTTCAAACACCTTCTTAAAAAAAAAAAAAAAAAAAAGGCCGTGTAGTGTAGCTGGTTTACAAGATACAAATAAATTCATGTGTAATTGGAGCCCTTTAGAATTTCACTTTCTATGGGGTGAAGAGATGATCATGTATAAAAAATATCAATATAAACTAGGATATGAAATGTGCTGCTATATAACATGCAAACCGCTATTGAAGCTAGTAAGCAGGACTCTAGGCAGCCTTAACTAAGCATAGAAAACAGAATCCTAATTATAATACATGATCCTTGTTGTCTCTAATCCTTTATTCTTTTTAGTTATGTTACTCATTTTCCTTACGTAGGCTTTTAAAGCAAATTTGTTCTTTTAAATTTCCTCCTTAATTCAAAAAAAGTTCTGAACCTGTAAAAATGTATGTAGAGTATTATATCCATGTGTTTCTCATCCAATCTAGCAACAAACTTATAAAAAGAATTGAACTTCACTGTGCATGTCCCCAGCTGAATTCTACCTTTTTTTTTTTTCCACAAAAGTTATCCACTGTCCTTAGTATGGTATTTATCTTCTTCATAATTCTTTCTGAATGCTGTATTTGTACATATATACATATATTTTTACATACATACATATATGTACATATATAGAATGATACAAACAGCATTCAGAAAGAATTATGAAGAAAAACACCATATAAAAGAAATGCACGCACACACACACACACACACACACACACATATGCCTTTCACCATAAACAAAATAAAAATACTGTTTTACATTTCCCAAGTTTTTCTCTATCTGTATTTTATGGCCATTGCTCAATCTTTGCACATTTGTGACAGAGCAAAATATTGCAATGGTTCTTCCTTATATGCTCGCTGAGGCTACTTTAGGTTTAACTAGAATTTTATCTCTTTGATGGAGAATCCCATGGAAAATTACCCAACTCTGTTCAAGAAAATCGAGATCAAGACACTCTCCTGATAACTTAGCTTCTGTTAAACTGCCTGTTTGTGCAGAACCTCCCCTTCCAGATGACTGCTTATCTTAGCTTCTGTTAAACAGCCTGCTTGTGTAGAACCTCCCTGCTGGAACTGCAAAGTGAGATACCAGACTATGGCTTTTGCCTTTAAAACTTCTTTCTCTAAATGCTCAGAGCTACACTTGGGTCCTGTATGCCTGAGTGCAGTCTCAGCTGCTTGGAATTAAGACTTTTAACTGACTACAAACTGTGTCTGAGTAGTTATCATCTGCTGGGCTCCCCATCACACCTTAATGAGTTCAATGGTGTCCTTCACCGAGATAAGCTGCAGAGGCAACTCTTAAAAACCATGGATGTGACCTAAGAACATTTTCCCCCATAAAGTTAAGACGAAGTAATACTGGATAAAGATGGACCCTTAATTCACTGATTGGCATCCTGGTAAAGAACAAACCTAGAGACAGGGATCCAAAAGAAATGCTACATGAGGATGGAGAAAAATATTAGAATGATACATTTGAAATTCAAAAGTTGCCAAAACTTGGTGTCAACCTCCAGGAGCCAGCAAAGAGGAAAAGACAAACTTTCCTTTGAGCACCTCCAGAAGGAATGACTCCGCTAGCAACTTCATTGCAGATTTACAACCATCAGAACTATGAGCAAATGAACTTCTATTGTTTGAAGCTACCCAGTTCCCGACTTTGTTATGGCTTCCCTGGGAAATAAGCCCATCCTTTCATCAGCTCGGTGTTTGCTGGTGACAAGCCGTTATACCAGCAAAGGAAGATGTGGTGGATTGAACTGTTTGCCTTATGGAAGTGCAAGGAAAAACAAAAACAAAAACAAGAAGTGGCCAGGGTCCTGATATCTCCTTCAAGAGCACACCCCAGAGCACTTGAAAAAAATGCTCCACTTCCTAAAGGTTCCAATACCTACCAAGCGTGCAGCAAACCAAAGGTCCAAACCTTTAACATCTGGGTTCTTGGCTGACATTCAAATCACAAACACAGTACCTATGAGTTAAGGAAGGCTGGTTCTACAAAACCTTTCCCCTTCTTGCAGCAAACCAGCGGTGCTCTGAGGTTCAAGCGCTCAGAGCTCTTAGAGGACTTAGGAAACCTTGTCCTCCAATGAAGGTTTGCATTGAGTAGCTCAGATTCAATACGTCTGGAGTAGAGTCTGAGAATGTATACTTCTAGCAAATTTCCAGCTGCTGCTGGCGCTGCTGGTTCAGTTACCCATTAGTATTATTTAGTATCATCTTTTTCAAGATGAGACAAAACTAAAAAGATAAAACAAAAAACCCCCATGGATTAACACAACATAAAATGGCTGTAGTTTTATGCAAAACAAACTTTTATTTTTAACATGAACATATCTATAAAAAGGTCACTGTGTAGTCAGATGTCTGTTGATGACATCTTTATATAGTGACTTTAGAACACAATCAATTTTCTAAACTACTAAAAGTGGGAAAACTAATGAAAACCATTTCTTCCTTCGTCCATTTCTTTCTTCTCGGCTTTCCAACTGTAGGAGGAAATAAGAGATAAGCAACATTTGTATTTTCTTAAAAGGCACTACTGACACTCTTGCCAATTCTATGTAATGCCACTGTCTCTCAACAAGGAAAAAGTAAACCACTTCCCTGCCATGCTTCCTTAGCCGATCTTCAGTTACCAGAATGCTCATGGGGTTCATAGCTTCCATAATCTGATCATATCAACCTCATTATCCAACTAGCAACCACTATAAAGGCCTGGTTTTTCTTTTTCGTTAACTGCTTCTCAGAGCACAAAACTTTGCATGTTTATATACCAACCCTACACATTCCTTAGCTTCCCAGCTACTCAGCTTCCATCTCTTTAAAATGAGATCTTCATCTCTTGAAAAATCTCATTTAAAAGATTTTAATTTAAAAAAATAAATAATTAAAATTTAAAATAAAAAATTAAATTTGAAAAAGATTTAATTTTGTTTTAAATAGAGATTTTCATCTCTTTAAAACTAGATTGAGAAGTGGGAAAATTCAGAAAGACAAAAAGAGACAAAGATGAACACAGAAATATAATGCCCAATTCCCAATTCAGTAAAAACAAACTTTAATTTTTTTTTAGTTTCATATAATTTGAAATATTAAAATCAAAACTAAGCTGATAATTTACAAATGAATCATGAGGTGTGATTTCACTTGAAACACTTAACTTTTTCCAACTTTCATCAGCACAAGAAGCAACAAGAGTGTATGGATCAGTCATACAGTTTAAGATAGGATAGAGCTCATGAAGGTAGGGATGGCATTACGGAAGGTGCATGAGATGGAGGGCCACATTACATCCACAGTCAGGAAGCAGAAACCAGACAGAAAGTAGGATTGAGCAATTACACATCAAGGCCTGTCCCGCTGTGACTCACTTCCTTCACAATTCTTATACCAAGTGTACTAGCTATTTTTGTCATTGCTGTAATCAAATTACCTGACAAGAACATTTCTGTGGCCGCACAATGCAGGCAGAATATCTCTTCATGATCTTTTACTACCAAGTCTGACAAATTCTCATGTGTTCTAAGTCATCTCATAGTCTAAGGCCTTCCATCTAGAAACAACTCACTCCTCCTCAACAAATGAGTACACTGTGGATGTTAAACTATTCTAGTTTAATATTAAATAAATTTAAAATTTATTTAATTTAATATTTAGTAGTATGAAAAATTAACAACTGTTTTGTTTACCAAGAATGTTTTAAAACCATGAAGCTCTTAGTCACAGGGCTATGTTAGGAATGGTTAGTTAGAGAAGCCAGTACCTGCGTTCCTAATTAGTAAGTGTATTACCGCCAAAGTCTATATAAACCTGTTGTATTTTTATGTGCTATAAAACTTAGAAAGCTCAATTGTAAAACTATCATTATTCTACGGTGGGGAGCCCTCTGCAGAGTCCAGGCTCTTTTTTGACTCTCTAGCCAGCTCTCCAGTTTCATCATCTTCCTCCTCTTCTTCCCCTGCATCTTCTTCAGCAGCATTTTCATACTCCCATTCATTGGGTTTGTCAGATTTGGATGGGGCAGACACCATGAACTTAGGCTCACGGAAGAAATAAAACAGCGCGGACACTTAAATTCTTTCTTCCTTAATTGATGGTTATGAACACCTGGAGAATATAAACATGGGAGAAAAAAAGTATTTTAGCCTAAAATATCTTCATGGTGACAGTTTTTTCCTGTGTACATAGCTCATTATTCATAACCCATGGGACAGAAGGGTATCAAAATCTCCATTCTGTATTTGTTAATTTTTAGCATAATATCATCAACAAAATGCTAATTTGTCCTAAAAAACAAACCACTGGCCCATAGCTTTCAGATTCTACCATTACTCAGCCAGGTTGGGCAAGCTCTGAGTATGACCTGCATCTGGGAAAGATGTGCCAACAGAGAAATTACTTTTTGTAATTCTGTTAGGTTCCTAGCCTCCCAGATGGGACCTCCTTTGTTTGTTTGTTTGTTTGGGTTTGGTTTTGAGACAGGGTTTCTCTGTGTAGTTTTGGTGCCTGTTCTATAGACCAGGCTGGCCTTGAAACCACAGAGATCTGCGTACCTGTGCTTCCTGAGTGCTGGGATTAAAGGCATGGGCATGCTTGTGCTGCCACTACCACCTGGCTTTGGGACCTCCTTTTAAAAGCAAAAGGCCTAGGAACCAAAAGGAGGGTGGAAGGGGACTTAGAGAGGAGAGAGTCTGGGGGAGGTGGGAGGGGAAGAGAAGAGTGAAGGAGGGCGGGGGGGGGGGGAGAGAAGTGGAGATGGGGGAGAGAGGGAAGGGAGGAAGGGGAAAGGTGGAGACTTAGAGAGGAAAGAGGCTGGGGGAGGTGGAAGGGGAAGAAGAGAGGGAAGGGAGGGGGAGAAGAGAGGGAGGGGGAGAAAAGAAGGGCAGATGGGGGAAGAGAGGGAAGGGAGGAAGCGGGTAGAGTGGGAAGGGGAATCCAGAGGAGAAAGGGTGTGTGGAGGGAGATAGGGGGTGAAGAAAGGTGAAGGAGAAATGGGAAGAGAGGGGACAGGGAATGGCGGAGCTAGGTGATGACTAGGACAGAGAGAACAGAAGGGACTTGGGTAACAGAAGGGAAGAGAGATCAGATATCGACCTGGGAGTCAGGGGCGGGAACAAGGGAGGAGAAGAGAGACAGACAAAGAGGCAGCAAGGAGGTGAGGGAAGCCAACAGGGGGAGGGAGCAAGAAGATAGCTGGAGGCATTGCAGGAAGCAGAGTGGGAAGAACAAAGAGGGGGAAGGGAGGGACAGGAAAGGGAAGTGGGGAAGGAGACAGGAAGGGGAATAAGCAGAGGAGAGGGGAGGAGATTGATGGACAGGGGGTGGAAAGGATGAAGGGGGAGATGCAAGAAGGGGGAGGGCAGGGGGAGAATAAAGAGGGAGGGAAGAGGTGAAGGAGAGCAGAAACAACGGGGAGAGGAGAGGAACAAAGAGGAGGAGAGGCAGGAAGTAGGAGCACAGATGGAGCAGGAAGCTGGGCATCAGGGGTGGGGAGAGGAGTGAAGAGAGGGAAGGGAGGAGAGGGATGAAGGACAGGAAAGGAGAAGGGAGGCAGAAAGAAAGTACAGATGTAAGAAAATGGAGATGTAAGGAGGAGAAAGAGGCAGCAAGGGGGCAGCGAGGGGGGAACAGGGAAGGGACTAGGAGAAAAGGGAAGGGTGGGAAGAAGGGCTGAAAGCCAGGGGGACAGGCGGGAGGTGGAGAGCAGGAAGGGAGAAGAGCGAAGATAGGAGAAGGATGGGAGGATGGGTGGACTAGAGTAGAAAGCCAGAGGGGGAGCAGAGGCAGGAAGGGAGCACAGGGTGGGGGGACAGGGAGAGTGAAGTGAGGGGGATTGATTGACAGGGGAGGTGGGGAAGACACTAGAGAGGAAAGAAAAGGCAGGGGGCAGGGATGGTGAGGAAATCAGAGCAGTAGGGGATTGAGGGGGATGGAGGAGCTGGAGGAGGGGCGAAAAGAAAGACTGAGGAGATGAAGAGGCAAGCAGGAAGTGGGGCAGGGAAGCCGAGGGGAGGGCAGGAAGGAGGGAAGAAGCAAAAGGTGGAAAGGTGTAAGGCAAGTAGGGGGAGCAGGGAAGGAGGGGAGCTGGGAGCAAGGGAAGCAGGAAACGGGAGGCAGGCAGGCAGGCAGGGAGAGGTAAGTCATAAAAAGGGGAACAGGGAGGAGGATGAGTGCTGGAGAGGAAAAGCCAAAGTGAGGGGGAATGTTAGCTGGGGGAAAAGGAACTAAAATGGGAGGAGGGAGGAGGAGAGAACAGGGAGGGGGATGGGAGACAGGAGAAGAAAGGCAGGAAAAGAGGAACAGGGAGAGGGATAGGAGCAAAAAGGGGAGCAGGGAGCGGGATGGGAGCATGGAGAGGAAAGATGCAAAAAGGGGAGCAGGGAGGGAGAGAGGAGCAGGAAGAAGAGTGTAGCAAAAGGGGAGTCAGGAGGGGTAGGGGAGCAGGACAGGAAAGGCTAGAAAACCAGAGCATGGACCAGGAAGGGATCTGAAGAGGAAAAGTGCAAAAAGGGAGCAGGGAGGGGGATGGAGCCGGAAGGAGGAAGGAGCCAGGAGAAGAAAGGCGCCAAAAGGGAGTAGGGAGGGGGATGGGAGCAGGGAGAAAGGTGCGGAAAAGGGGAGCAGGAAGGGGAATGGAGCAGGGAGAGGAAATACACAATAAAGGGAGCAGGGTACGGATGGAGCAGGGAGAAGAAAGGTGCGGAAAAGAGGAACTGGGAGGGGAATGGAGCCAGGAGGGGAATGGAGCCGGAAGGGGGATAGAACTGAGAGGTGTATGGAGCCAGGATGGGGAAGGAACCAGAAGAAAGGTGCCAAAAGGGAGCAGGGTGGGGATGGAGCAGGAAGAAAGGCGTAGAAAAGGGGAGCCGGGAGGGGGATGGAGCCGGAAGGGGGATGGAACCAGGAGAAGAAAGGCACCAAAAGGGAGTAGGGAAGGGGATGGGAGCAGGGAGAAAGGCATAGAAAAGTGGAGCAGCGAGGGGGATGGAGGGGGGTGTGTGGAGCCAAAAGGGAGTAGGGAGGGGGATGGGAGCAGGGAGAGAAAAGGCACAAAAAAGGGGAGCAGGGGGTGGGAGAGGAAAGATGCAATAAAGGGAACATGGAGGGGGATGGAGCAGGGAGAAGGCGCCAAAAAAGAGCAGGGAGGGGGGTGGGAGCAAGAAGAAGAAAGGCATCAAAAGGCCCAGGGAGGGGGATGGGAGCAGGAAGTAGAAAGTTACAAAAAGGGGAGCCTGGACAGGAAGCAGAGCAGGGAGAGGAAAGGTGCAAAAATGAGAGGTGCAGGGGAGCAGGTTGAGGAGTGGGAAGAGGGGATGGTAGGAGAGGTGCTAAGGACAGGTCCGAGAGGAGAGTGGAGAGGAGGAGGGGATGAGAGACAGTAATGGCGTTGAGGAATGAGCCTAAATATTATGAGGTGGATTTTACTATGGATGTGGTTAAGAATACACCCAACCTGCATCTAGAGTAAGGACCATGGATCACTCACAGTTACAGGTCGCTAAGTCAGTGAGGCACAGAGCTCCTGCACCCTCTTCCATGAGCATCTCATTTTCTGCCCTGACCTCCTCTGCTTCCATCTGGTTCTTCAATTCTTCCTCATCCTCATCCTCCATGCCCTCATCCTTGATGTCCTCATCCTCCTCGTCAATCGGGAACATCTGCCTGCTCTGCTTGGATATCCAAGCCACATCTCCCCCATACTGCTTCTCATAAATGGCGTTTGTGATTAACTGGAATGCCAGAAAACCTGCTGTAGCAGCAATGAAGATCAGCCACTGCAGAGACATTAGAATTTCTTCCAGGAATCTATTTCCATCATCTTCACCATTTGAGCCACTATGGCCGCAGTCTGGCTTCTTGTTATCAGACATGGCACAAAAGGCACCAGCCAGAAGCTATTGTAAGTGAAGACAACTGTAGTGAGCCACAGGATGGCAGTTCACTTCTTAGACCCATACAGGGCAATGCTGATGACACATTGCATGCTGGGAGAGGTGGAGGTGGGGCCTCTCTCCTAGGAAGACCTTTATAGGCTGAGTCTGCACGGGGAGGGTGGAGTAAACCGGGACTTCTTTCTCATGTGGAAGGGTACAAAGCGGGAAACCAAAGGATGTGCTGGAGCTGTAGGTGGAACTTGCAAAGATTCCTACCCAAGGCTCCTGACCTTCCTGGAGAACGTTAAGCTCATTGGCTGAGAAATGAGACCCTGCAAAGCTTATGTACCCAATGACTGACCAGGATCTTCACCCTTCTCGTGTTTCTAGGGGCTTAGGGTTCTTTTCTTTCTCCCATGGCAATAGAACTTCTGTATATTGTTTCTATATGCCAGATTCTTTCGTATAGACGTGTCTCCCCAAGTCCTCTAAGAACAGCTTGTAGCAGGAAGGACACAGGCTTTTAACATGAGAAAACACGGCTATAGGTTACGTTACTGTTACTCACAATCCCCAAACTTCACACCGGAAAGGGAATGGCCATTTGGATGTGTTAACAGTATTAAAACTGCCCGTGGCCATTGCTCAGCAAAACTCATGGTGCTCAACACAGTCTGCCACTCCAGAGACACCAGAACAGCTGCAAGAAATTCGTGATCCAGTCTCGCCCTCCACCTCCACCATCTTCGCCACACAAGCCACATTGGGTGGAGTCGTGCTAGTAGGTGGACACAGCAAGAGACTCACAGGTGAGAAGATTGCAGGAGGCGTGAGGGGTGGTGGTGTTAATGTTGTGACATGGCACACGAGAGGCCTTGGTGGGTTTGGACCAAGATGCCCCAAAGCGAGTGAGGGATACCATGCATCAGACAGCGGTATGGCACAGTGAAAAGTTACACCGCAGATGCGCATCCATGTGGAAAGTTTTTATTATTAAAGGGAGAGAGAGGGAGAGGAGAAAGAGGGAGAGAGACAGCAAAGGGGAAGGGGTCCTTTCTTAAAGGGAACAGGATGATAGTTAGGATGCTGGGTAGGCCAGGGTATTATCTGCTTATGGGTCAGTATTCCAAGAAGTGGGTCTGAGTGCTAACAGGTGGCTAAAGTCCCTGTACATTATTAGTATGTTAGTAGTCTCCAGGGGACTCTTTTTTTTTTTTTTTTTTTTTTTTTTGTTTTTTGAGACAGGGTTTCTCTATGTAGTTTTGGTGCCTGTCCTGGATCTCGCTCTGTAGACTAGGCTGGCCTTGAACTCACTGAGATCCACCTGGCTCTGCCTCCCGAGTACTGAGATTAAAGGTGTGCACCACCGCTGCCTGGTTCCAGGCAAATCTAACAGAAGGGCTTGTCATCTTTGCAGTGTGAATGCATGTTATTGACATTGGTTGGATGGGTCTCCATTCAAAGGTTCTAATTTCAAATAAGAGCACCAAAAAAAAAAAAAAATTGGCCAAATTTGTAATTATGGACTATTTTGTTCCCAGGACACAAATGACCTTAGATTTAAGGGTGTGCATTTACATTGTGGGAGTCAGATTGTTCTGCCCAGATTAGGACCCCCAAAGAGACCACTGGAGACTGAGGATGTCCAGAATGCAACAGCAAGGTTTACTTTTTGGCGCAGTACAAGCTAGCAGGGAACCCTGTCCACACTGCGGCGCAGCGAGGCAGGGAGGAGAGTTTCTCTTACTTGGGGAGGTTAGCTTTTGAAGGCAAAACCCACAAAATTCTTCATGGAGGAGGGGGTTAGTACGGGTCCATCCTTGATTGGTCCAGTTTTCCCAAACCTGGACTTTATCTTATTATAGTTTGTCTGTTTGCTCTGTCAGGAGTTTTATGGCCCATCTCCAAAGTCTGGTCATGTTATCTTGGGTGAGGGGGCATCTCGTGGTTAGTCACCACCAGACGTCCTGACTTTGTACCTTTAAAACTTCTGACTTCACCCTGTCTGAGAATGGGGAACTGACTCAGTTCTGGTTATTTTAAGATATTCCTTCCCTCAGTTCTCCGGGCCTTAGGGGGAACTGGGTTGGGGGTCTCTCGAGATGACAGGTGGCTATTCTTTCTTTAAAAAAAGGTATTCTCAGCCGGGCGGTGGTGGCGCACGCCTTTAATCCCAGCACTTGGGAGGCAGAGGCAGGCGGATCTCTGTGAGTTCGAGGCCAGCCTGGTCTACAAAGCGAGTTCCAGGAAAGGCGCAAAACTACACAGAGAAACCCTGTCTCAAAAAAAAACCAAAAAAAAAAGGTATTCTCACCTTACACAAATGCATAAAAGCTATGAATTAATGAGATACTATGTTTAGTATAGTAGACTTATACATGTTTTCTCTCAAACACATTGTCTGGATTTTAAGTGTGTATGTGTGTTTGTGTGTCCAGACTTCACCATTAGTTGGAGGTGCCTGGCATCTCCAGGGGAAAAAGGTCTCTGTTCTCTGTATTGCATGAATCCTAAGTGGTCTTATGATAAAAACCCATAGCCAGATATTGGGGTAAATGCTGAAAGATTGGAGAGACAAAGGAACAAGCCACAGCCACCTCTCACCTTGCCAACTCCACGAATGCTCTGATTAAATGCTTCTGAGTCCTCAGCCAAAAGGGCTTGAGTTCCCTGTCTCCTCATGCCTCATATGCCTTTCTCTGCCCAGCAATATTACTTCTTGTCTCAACTTTCCTAGTGCTGGGATTAATGGCGTGTGTGCTTCCTAAATACTGGTAGCAAAGACATGAGATCTCAAGTGCTGGGATTAAAGGTGTGTTTTACCACTGCCTGACTCTGTTTCTTTTAGACTGGATTAATCTCTTGTGTCTAGGATGGCCTTGAACGCACAGAGATCCAGACAGATCTCTGCCTCCCAAGTGCTAGGATTAAAGGTGTGTGCCACCACTACTTAAACACTATGGCTAATTCTGTGCCTAGTCTGTCCTCTGACTTTCAGGCAAGTTTTATTAGAGTATAACAAATTATCACCACACTCTGATGCCAAGGTATCCCTGGAATATTGTCTAGCACACAATCTCTGAGAAACCTTAGCTGAGTGGCCTCATACTCACTAAATAGCAAAAGATAGTCTCAAATTCCTGATCCTCCTGCCTTCACTTCCCAAGTGTTGGGATTACAGACATGCATGCCTTGAAAAGCTGGAATTGTTGACTTTTTAAATGTATAAATGCATTTATTATTTTATCATAAGTGAGAGAACATTTAAAAATAGATTTTATAAAAGCAGAAAAAGTATATCTTTACATTTTGCTCCAAATATAATATCATTTGTTTGCATAATCATTATTGAGTTGTTTACTTTTTAAATGTGGTTACTTACAGTTATTGATTTCCTCCTGAATGCCACAAATGGGGATAAGTTGTACTTTTTTTGTTCCTTCTAATGCATTCTAAAATTTGATTTTTAATTGCATCTTTTACCCACAGTTGATTAATTTTTGCATGTTTGTGTCTAAAGCTAAGGAATAAATCTGGCATTAGGGGTGGGCCAGAAGCATGGATCTGTCTAAACTGACACCTGGGATTTGTAGACAAATTGTTAAATGGCTTATTAATAAAAAAAAACCCATCACCAGATATTGGTGTTAAAACCTGAGAGATTAGAGGAAAATAATAGGAAAAGCCACAGCTAATCTCACCTCACCAATCCCACAGTGTAGCTGAAGTTTTCCTATGTCCCAGCCTGCCGGTGGTCAGGACAAATCTCTCCCACCCACCCACCAGTTCCGCTCGGGCCCATAGCCACTCAGACCCAAGTAAACACATAGAGACTTATATTACTTATAAACTGCATGGCTGTGTCAGGCTTTTTGTTACCTAGTTCTTATATCTTAAATTAACCCATTTCTATTAATCTATAAGTTGCCACATGGCTTGTGGCTTACCGGTACTTTACATTTTAATTCTCACGGTGGCAGCGTCTCCTGACTCAGCCTTTCACATCCTAGAATTCTCTGTTCTCTTATCCCTCCTATACTATACGTGTTTTATTTATCAATCAATCAGAGCAACACATTTATAGCATACAGAAAGACATCCCCAGCACTGCAGCTTCCCAAAAAACCTACCTCCTATATACCCACCTATATGCCTTTCTGTTCTGCTATATTGTTTGCTCTCTCCACCCAGCTACATTGCTTCCTCTTCCTGCCCAGCTCTGTCACTTCCTGTCTGTCTGTACAGATCTCCATGGTTAACTAGTGTTGGAATTTAAGGTGTGTGTCACCACACCTGGCTCTGTTCCCAGTGTGGCCTTGAACTCTCAGAGGTCCAGACAGATCCCTGCCTCTTGAATGATAGGATTAAAGGTATGTGCTACCATTGCCTGACTTCAATGTTGAATATAGTGGCTGGCTTTTTCCTCTGATCCTCAGAGGGCCTATGTACTTTCTGCTGTGAAAAAGCCATGGTGAGGAGCAGCAGAGACTTTGGACCCCAGTGACCACAGCAGGTCTGTCACTGGGAGGCAGAGTCCCCTGAGGCCAGAGCCCAGCAAGGGATGCCTCTGGAGAGTGTGGGCAGCTGACAAGTGAGATTGCAGGGTGTTGTGGCAACTGTGCTAGAGACAAAGCCTCCAGAGAAAGACACCCTCAGGGTACAGACCAGGAGGGCCAGGGAATAGGTGCCTTTGAGTCTGTGTGTGCGTGCGTGTGTTGGGGACACAGAGGTAGGCCCAAGTACTGCGAGCTGCAGTGATTCAGGGAAGCCCTGTGGGCCCTGTGGAGGCCAGACAGCATCCCTAAAGGCGGAACCATGGCAGGATGGGGGTGGGGTGGGCGGGGATGACAACAACAACACACCAGTACACTGGGTGGGATGAGCCCTGGCCTGGGAGGTTTTGAAATCTACCCTACAATGAAATGTACAAGGTCTGAGTCCCTAGCAGCACCTTGTGGCAGCAGCGCTCTAGGCTGAATGGTGGAGACTCGCTGGAGACCAGCCTGAGCTCCCAGTGGCAGGGTG